CTCTCACTTTTTTGAGGGGGAAGCAATCACCCCAGGCACCTGAAGAGAGATATTTGCAAGTCCCCAAAGACACAGATGGAACAGAGCAACCAGTGGGAGAGGAAGCCACGGTTACAGTGTGTACATGAATAATCATAGTGACAGAAGCATAAAAGGGTACAGTTTCTTTGGAAAACAGGCAACCCCTAAAGCTGCTGACACATGATTCAGCCCTTCCACTCCTAGGTATTTACCCAAGAGAAATGAAAGAATATGTTCCTACAAATAAATGAATGTTCACAGCACTTTCATTAGTAAGAGAAACTAGAAACAACTGGGAAATAGGGTATCTCCGTAAAATGAAACACTACCTAGCAAAAGAAAGTAGTGAGCTGTTGCTCTAGACAATAACACGGCTGAATCATAAAATAATGACATGCTGAATGAAAGCTGGACAAAAACTGAGTACATATTATATGATTCTACTTAACATTCATTTTAGAAAAAAACAAGCTAACCTATACAGTGATAGAAATAAGACCAGTGGTTGCCAAAGGGCAAGACGGGGAGGTTGCAAAGGGGCACGTGGATACTTTTTAGGGTGAGAGATATGTTCACAATCTTAATTGTGATGACGGTTTCACAAGCATACATATATGTCAAAACCGATCAGATCACACACTTCAAACGTGTGCAGCGGACTGTCAACTCTACCTCAACGTTGGTTGTTGTTGTTTTCAAGAATCGAAAGTGGGGAAATGGGAGAAAAAAGAGGGTGAGTTTCCAGGGACAGAAGAGACTCAGCTTGGAGGACCACAGACCCTGAGGAGAGAAAACCTCACAGTCCTTGAGTAGGTAGAAGTGATCTGGAGACAAAGACCCAGGGGAAGCAGACAAAAAGAAAGTGGACTGCCTGGGTCTGTGCTGAGAAGAGGGAAACCACGTATCCCCAGGATTGCCCAAGCCAGCTTACTAGTCACAGTCGGCAGGGAAATGAGAATTTAGGGTGAATATGGATATGAGGGAGCAGGTCTCCCTAAAACTTGCCACAGCTAGTTCTCAATCTGACATCAAAAGCATAAATCACCAGTGTCTTTCTTTACTCCTTAACTGTGGGTGGCCCCTGATGCTGAAGCAGGTCCCCTGGAAGGACTGTGAGAAAAAGGGGGAAACCAGAGGAGCAGGGGCTGGCCAGCTGGAGGGGGCACTTCTGGGAGACGTTCTGGTTGTTGCACTGAACAGTTCACCCTCCCCGTGACTGTGTGTCGGGCATTTGTGCCAAGCAGGAGGGAGATACTAGGGATAAGGCAGTGGAAAAAAGAAACCTTGCTGCCTTCCAGGCTCCAGCATCAAGGCGGGGGAGTTGCTTTGCCAAGGAAGAGATTGGGGCACCTGAAGGTCTAATGGGATAGCAGGATGGAAAGTCACCGGTGTTTCCTTCAGGACTTCCTCTGACACCTCAGAGCTCTGACCGCAAAGTTCCTGGCACCGTCCAAGCCCATCCTCCTCAGCTGACACTAAGGGAGAGAATAGCTGCTCAAACCCTTTCACAAAAAAAGGTCAGTCCTAGGATTTAAATGCTACCTAAATGTATGTTTTTAAATTTGTCTCTAAATTCTCCCTAGATTAGGAATGGCTGATGGTCAACATAATTTTGAGATCTCATCCTTCCTTTTGAGGTCTTGCTGCAGCCATCAGTCTATTAAAACAAACCCAAACTAAAGCAAGCTTGTGAGAAGAGACTCTGAAATAACGGGATTTTGATTATTTCCCAATTTACTTAGGTCCTTAATAATTACCAAGGAAGCATAAGACAGGATTTGTCATTAGGAAACCTAGGGAGGTGGGAGCCTCTTTGCTTCCCTTTTACTTCAAATTGGTTTTAGCCTTAAAATAAGGAGTCTGGTGTAAGAAGAAAGCTTTCCCTAGGTTACTTAGTGGGCCCTTGAGCAAATCACTTAACTTCAATGGGCCTCAATTTTCTCAGCTGTTTTTGGCTTAAGTCTGGGGCCTGTGAGCCTAATAAACCATTCATTCATTCATTCATTGAGAACCTACTGCATCCCAGGCACTAGGTTACACGAATTAAAAGAGAGGCAAGACCTCTACACTACAACTCAATTCTAGAGAAACCAAAAATGAACGGGAACCAAACAAGATAATGTCAGGTAGTGATAAGCACTAAGAAAATATACCACAGTGCCTTACTTTACTTTGGGGATGGTGGTCAGGGCTGTGAGAGCTGAGTAGTCTAGAATGATGGAAAGGAACCAGCCACTCGATTCCCAACAGAGGCAACCCTACTGAGGGTTTTCCATGGGGCGGGAAAAGCTTATTTGCTTATCTTCATAGGTAAAGGAGAATATACCTGTCTTTTTCATTTTATACCTTTCCTCCAAGTAGTCTGTATTAATTCATTTATATACACTTTTTATTTTCACTTTTTTAAAAGATTATGTATTTATTTGACAGAGAGAGAAGGAGAGAGAGAGAGAGAGCACAAAAGAGAAAGCAGCAGAGGGAGAGGAAGGAGCTCCCGGTGAGGAGGGAGGCAGTGTGGGGCTCAATCCCAGGACCCCAGGACCATGACCTGAGTCTGAGCCAAAGGCAGACTCTTAACTGACTGAGGCACTCAGAAGCCCCATGTACGTAACTTTTTAAAGAGGAGCAAAAGAATTTGATTTGAACAACTTCTTCTAAATAGGATTTCTCTTCTACAGGATTCCTTTGTTATTCTCAAGTTTCTGTCCTCATAGTTATAAATTCTCCCACTTATACCCCGGCAGGAGTAAACAGGATTTAAATCAGTGTTTTTCAGATTTTATGATAACAACCTACAGTAAAATAAGTGTTAGATCATGACCCAGTGTATAAAACCAAAAGTTTTTTAAACAAAGCTTACTGTAACTATCTGCAATGGACAGTAGTATATTCTATTCTATTTCATTTTTTTAAATGCTAAGATGATTTCATCAATAACTTACAGTATGAAAAACACTATTCTAAATCAATAGTGGCTAGTAATTTTGTTATTAACAAACCCAAAAATGGTAAAATTGATTAAACATCCTCAAAGTCTCTCCTCTCCCCCTTCTTTCTGTGCATACTTGCTTTAAAAGAAATGGGTTCCAAATTTCTCTGTATAACTTGTGGAGGAAATGCCCAGAGGGGACATTTTCAGGGGGACTGGCGTGGAGGGAGGTGAGCCAAAATATGCAAATTGTTCAATAGTTGAAGAGATAACTCGGGTTTCAAAGATTGCTCAAGAAGGAAAGATTCATAGTCTTCACAACAATGAGGCTGTGGGTGTGTGTGTGTTGGGGGAAATAATTTACTAAATTTTAAGTTCCTAGAGGGGAGTCAGTCTGCACCCTTCCATTTCTTTACTATAATTCAAGTCTTACATGGACAGATAGGTAACTGCAGCACAGAGAATCAGACCTTGCATTTAGCACATAACACACAGGTGCTCAGTAACATTTTGTTTAATAACTTTTTGAAATAATGGAGCTCACTGTCATCGTCAAATCCTAACTTCGCATGTGCACCAATTATTATGTTCTCCTGGAATGTAAAAATGTCATGCAATAGTAAATGAAATGTGTTTATCTTCAAGTCATTGTTTAAGTCCAGGGAGCTTAATCAGGCATTTTTCTCAAGCACTAAGTGGGAAAAGGATGTTTTCCATTGCAAGGCATAAGAGAGCGGATTGGCTGTAATGGAAAGATTCCACATCTGCTAGTGGCCATGGTAAACAGCTGGGATTAGAATGAGTGTGTTAATTTAATAGGTAGTTTCTCAAGGGACACTAACCAGTGGGCTCTGTCAGCCAAGAGCTCTGTCTGATGGAAACCGTGCCAGTTTCTCTGGGAATTGCGGTTACTGTCCTTACCCCTGAAGTCAGAAGTGCATGCACCCAATTTCCAGTTGCCCCAGGGCCCAGGAACCGAAAAATTACACCTGCAAGCAAGAGTTCTCCCACACTGCTGCAGGGCCGCCACACACAGAAAGCAGTCAGTGAAAGCTGTGTGCCCTTCAGCCCCATTTAGGGACATCATTAACGATTTCAAATTACAACTGTTGCTTTAACTCACAGCAGTGATAAACAGCGGAGCTGCATTCATGATGTTTTTCTTTTAAGTCATTTATTTGCTCTCCTCTCAGGGGCAAGGAAGATGTTGAGACAAGTGCAAACCTGCCCGAGCTGCTGCTTATAGATGCAGCCCTCTTCCTCTCCCTCTCTCTGTTCCACTTCAGCACCCCTCCCTCTCTGGATTTCCTGAACTGAGCCAGTGTCCTCCGGTAAGGAACTGCTAGTGGCTCCTTTTCAAAACAAGAGGGATTCAGCAGAGAGGCTGAGGCGACAGAGGCAACAACCACTCCCTCACCCCAGCAGGTCAATTCACCCCATTCCCCAGGTCAGCAAGAGGTTGGGTTTCTGAAAGGAACCAAGTCTTAGAGGAGGGCGGTCACCCCTTCAAATTCAGGAGCATCCGCTCAAACGCGAGATGTGCCAAATCCTGCTGCCATACCGGAGGGGTGGGCAGGCGAATGTGAGCGTGTGCTAGGGGACAGCCTATACATAGGCGAGACATCAGTGGTAACGAAGGGAGACCCGCCACGGTCGACAAAGCCACAACTATTACGACTTGAAATATCACCCGCAGGGCACCGGCTTCGGTGCCAAGCTCTCCCCGGATTTATTTTCAGGCAAGTGACTCACAACCTCCTCTCCATAAGTAATTCCATTAAAATGAGTCGCCGGTTCCACTAACCCGACTTTCCGCTGCCCTCTGGCTGCCCCTCCCTCCTCTCCGCCCATCAGGCAAACCCAGACAGCTCCCAGACTGAGCAACCGTACCCCAGGGGAGCAGAAGGCAGGTTCTTAGGCCCGGCTCCCACCCTCAGGGAAGGATGAATGGGGCCGGAGGCGGGTGGGAGCGCCAGGAGGGCGCGTGCGGGCAGTGCGCGGGGTGTGTACGCGTGTGTGCGCGCGTGGGCACGCACCCGGGCCAACTTACGGAGGTGGAGTTGGTCCTCGCTTGGCCCTGGTTCCGCACCTCCTGCTCCCGGAACTGCAGTCCAGCCAGATGCTTCTCCAGTGCCTCCCAGTCCATAGGGGGCACCGGGGGCTCCTCCGGGACGCACGTCCCGCAGTCGGTGGGCTGAAGGCAGAGAACCCCAGCTGCCGGGCCCCGGCCGCCGCGTCGGCTCCGCGCGGGCTGGGGCTTCTGGACCGCCCGGCGGGGGCCCCGGGAACCGCTGGGCCGGCCGGCCACCACCACCACGTTGCCATTGTGCCTGAGGTCCTGGGGGTCGTGCGGGTGGAGGTTGCCATTGGGCACGGGAGGCGGCATGACAGTGGTGGCGCCCTTGCCCCCGCCGCCGCCGCCACGGGTCCTGGCGCTCAAGTCCCCCGGCTCCCGGGACGGACAGCGGTCATCCCGATACCCCCGCTCGTCGCGCTCGTCGCGCTCGTCTTCCTCTTCCTCCTCCTCCCCGTCCTCCTCCGGTGCCCACTCATCAATCACCTTCTTCTGGTAGACCGGGAAGGGCTCCTCATAGTCCTCCAGCGCAGACACCAAGTCCAGGCTGCCCCCCGGCGAAGACGAGGATTTGCACTCGGAGCAAGGGGTCACTTTGGTGGAGTTGGACTGAGAACTGGCGCGGCTGCTGCTGCTGCTGCTGCTGCCGGCGTCACTGCCTAGATCCATCCCATCCTCTCGGTAATCCTGGGGAGGGGGGGAGGAGGCAGAGAGTGAGCTGCCCGGCCGAGCCTGCTCCGGCCGCCCGCCGCCCGCCGCGATCACCCCGGCCCAGTGCCCCACTCCCGCCTGGCCAGAGGTGCGCCCCCCAACGAGTCCTGGGAATCCGAGCCGGCACCAGCCGGAGGCTTCCCTTAGCCCACCCCCCCGCCCCCAGCATACTTCCTCCCAGGAACTAACCCTCAAATTAGCAAAGGGGGTGCCCAGCCATCAGCAAGGACACTTTCCGTAAGAAGGGCCCCGGGGCGCGCATGGACTTTGTTGTAACCATTTTGTGCCGGGCGCGCCCCTGCACCCCGCCCCAAGGATTCTCGGAGAACCAGACACTTTCCCAGAGAATTATAATTCCCTGGGGGCGGGACCGAGAAGAGGGTGGGCGGCCACTGAATTCGCACCTCGTTCGGGGCGCCGAGACCACCCCCCACCCGGCCCCGCCTCGCCCCGCCCCGCCCCCGCCGGCGACGGGGAGCGGGGCTCTGCTCGCTAGCTGAGCTTTACTTTCTAAGGAACCGCAGGCGGCTCGGAGGTCTCACTCCCGTCTCCGCGCCTCCCTGACCGGCCCCTCCTCGGCCCGCCGGAAGCCTCGGGCGCTCTCAGCCTGCGCTGGAGAGGGTGGCTCTCGCGACCCCCAAAGGTGTGCGGGGCCCGGGCGCGGCGGCGGTAGCTGCCTGCGCTGCCGCCGCCCTGGGGGAGGGAGGACGCGCCCTCCCGGCGGCGGAGCCGGTCCCGCCACCGAGCATGCCCAGAGGCTGCGGGGCGCGGCGTAGTCCGCTCTCCCGGTTTTCGCGGCAGCAGGCTGGGGCGGGAGGCCCGGCGGGGATAGGGTTGGAAAGGTCGGTAAAAGGCCAAGGGAAGGGGGCACGGAGCGTTGGGGATGCAGACCCGGCCAATTAACAGGGGTGGCACGCTGGGGAGGGTGGCGGATTTTAACCCCCAGACGCACTAATATTTTCTGGGCGCGTCTCAAGCCTTCTTTTCCGGGCTCGTTATCCAGCCTAAGCCTCCCCGTACCCCAAAGCGCGGGCGCGGCGCATCCTAGCCCACGCGGAAGTCCCCGAGTGATCCTATGAAGGACTCCCCCCACCCCCAACACACACGCACACAGACACTAGCCCATATGGGAGCCCGAAGTGACGTGTGCTCAGTGGTCATGCACCATCATTTCCCTTCCACCTTCCTCGGCCACTTCCTCTCCCTCCACCGCCCAGCTCCGCTAGCCCTGCTGGCTCCCCTTCCAAGTTCACGTTGTGGGCGGAACCTGTTGCTTTAGCTCTTGCTTCCTTCCCCCTCCCGGCCACACGCTGAGGTTGACCTCAGAGAGGTGTGTGTATGGGGAATGGAGGGGTTAAGTGTAAAATGGGATTGATACCTCGAATTTTAGAGGAGAATCTGTTCTAAAGGTTCACGCGAACCTCTCAAGTCCCCTTTGGCCACCTCCAATCAAGGAGACATTAAAGGAGGGGAAGAGGTGGGTATCTGGTGACTTGCTCCTGGCGTGTGCACTGGCTCTATGCCCTCAAATTTTTCTGGAAACCGAGTCAAAGAAACATATGCTGGCTTTTTCAGAATATACACTGGTTCCCTAAGTTTGGCAGCTCATCTAATTAGGAACAAGTTTCCATGCAGTGAAAGATACCAATACTTGAAAAGCATGTATGTATGGGTCATAGAACACTTTTTCAGGATTATGAATTTCCTGTGAACCAACCAGTTCTGACTTGTAAGAACTGGGAAACTAAGAAATGCCCTCTTCTCTGTTGCTTATGAAAAACAGCACTTAGAACTTAAAGGTTCTCACAGGCACAAAACTGTGAGGTGACGGATGTGTTAACTAGTTGGGGGGGGGTCCTTTCACACTCTCCGCTTGTATCAAATAACCATGGAACACACTTTAAATATTTACAATTTTATATGTCAATTATACCTCAATAAAGCTGATCATTTTCAAAAAAGAAAAAAAAAACCCAACACTTAATTTTACAGCAGACTGGGGAGAACCAGTTTCCCTGGACTTCCAGATTTGGGCTGTTACTTATTATTCCCAGGGAATTCAAGCCTGGACCAGGCCACTACCCTGGCATAGCACCCTCCAGATGGAGGAACAGGGGAATGCTTGGAATTCTTTAGTAGGGAGTGGCTGCCACCCTGACATTTCTTCTAGGTCCTAATTGGGACTTGATGCAGAGACCCTTTGTTTAAGTGACTTCAGTGAAATGTAACTCTTTGCTGTCCTAGGTAGGCCTGAGCCAGGAAAGATAAACTAATCTTTTAACTTGTCTGGCAACAGCAATCTTATGAGTACAGGAAAAGGGGCCTCTGGTCTGGTCCCTTTACAGCTCTTCTGTAAAACAGGACTGATTATAATTCAAAGTGTCTTTTATGGTAACATCTGTAAACAGCCTGCCTTGTGCTCCAAATATGGGTTGATTTTGAGGTTGCTATGAAGCACTGGGTCAGCTGGCTGCCCCCCTGTGGGATGGAGGTGACCCTGAGGGTGTTCAGAGATGTGGATAGGAAACCTCATGTGCTGGAACTAGATAGCTGCTTTTCAAATCTCCATGTGATTTGGCAAGGTTTAGGTTAGAAGAGCTCCCTACTCTGTGGCAGGACACAGGTAGACAGGTTAAGTATTGATCATCTGGGGTGATGAAAAAGAGTTGTGGGCTCAGTCCCAATTTTTAAACATTAGGACCTCCTCAGCCACCCACCCAGACCCCCTCTTGGGCTCCAACTCATCCCCCCACCACCACCCCGCGCTGCCCAGATGGTCTGTGTTTGGGGAATGCAAAATAAGGCCTTAGAAAAACATTTGGCAAGGCAAACCCACTGCCAAAAATGTGTGGCATTTCAAAGCCAAGTAGAAACCTCTTTGAATTATCTGTCCTTTTAAATTATTTTCTGACCAGATATTCTGGATTAGATGGGAAAGTACCAGGTTTCCTTTTTTTCTTTCCTCTTCATGCAAGGTGCCTGGCTAGCCCGGTTTCCCTTCTCTTTCAAGCTTTCCATCTCCTGCCAAGAACTGTCCCATTTTGGAACAGGAAGCCCTGCCAATTTCTAGGCTGGTGACAGTCTACAGATATGTCCAGCAGGATGGAGAGATGATTTGGAAAGTGATTGAAAGGTCCTGTCTTCCGGTTTATAGGACCGTTTCCTCAGATTAGAAGCTTGGGCCTTACAGACTTAGCTTTGTCCCCTGCAGTCTTAGTACATCAGACATCAGAGATGTGAGTCAAGTGCGTATCATCGCAGACCAGCACCTTCTGTTGTCCCCCTCGAATACCCACTGCCCCCAGAGTCTAGACCACCCTGTCCTGAAATTACTGAACGGTTTTCCCACTATCTGTGCCCATTGTCTGTAGGCAGGCATAATGTCTTTCTGAAATGCAAATCTAAGCAAGTCTCTCCTGGCTTTCTCAAAAACCCCCTTAGCTCCTCATGGCTCTTAAAGGAACTGCTTCCTACACACCTCCTCCACCTTATTTTGGCAAATTTCTAGCTATCCTTTAAGACTAGACTTAAATGTCACTTCCTCCTGGAAGGCTTCCTGATTCTCTGTGCACCCCAAAAGGGATCAGGTATCTTTCCCATGCTCCTGAGACACTCACCGCACTTTATTGCACACACTGCATTGAGGTTACTGTTTAATTGCTTATCTTCTCTACTAGACTCAAGAAAACCATTTTATGTCAAGACCCAGGCCACACAGACATATAAAAATACTTAAAAGCTTCATAAAACCCTTATTTTGTAAAATCTTATCCTTATTCATTAAAAACAAAATCTGCCCACATGTCACCATTGACTTTTTAACCCTTAAATGGATCCGGGGCCCTACTGAGTAAAAAAAAACTCTAAATTCCGGGAAGGGAGGAGCTCTTTCTATTTTGTTCATGGTAACTGGAATGGAATAGAAGCTTCATTGATATTTGTTGCTCGGATTACTACTACTAATAACACAGAATTCATATAATTCTCCAAAACTCTTATAAAGAAACTAGTATCCCCATTAAAAGACAGTAAGGTTAAATACATTGCCTAAGGTCAAAAAGTGGGAAAGCTAGGCGACATAGCCAGGATTTGGACCCAGGTAGCCTGGCTTCAGAATCTTGGCTTAGTCACTCAGCAAAAGGCTCCGTGCCCTTCGGCCTACATGTGTATGGACGCATTTACCAAGCAAAATGCCAGAAAGGGTCCTTCTAGCAACTTCAAAGGAGTCCTCAGTCTCCTGCCCTGCAGAGAATCCTTGGGCAGTATTTATGTCTGTGCAGAGAAGGCAGCTGGCAGGAGCAGCTGCTCTCCTCTGCTCATACAAGCCCCACCTCCTCAACTGTCAACAAGTTCAGCAATGTTCAGCAAGTTGGGAGCCTTAATTATGTACAGGCAGAGTATAGACAAATCAGAAAAGGAAATTTCACTTCGTTACGAGCTACATGCTTTAAGTTCCCCCCCCAAAACAAATCCTTTAAGAAGGTAGCCATCATGAGATTGGGATTTTCATTTTTGTCAAGAATAGAAAAGTGGGGTAATACTCAAAGGGAAGGGTTGAGAGCACATTTCTTAGAGGCCAGTGCTATTTATAGGATTTTAATCTGTCCTGGCAACATGTGAAAAAAGATAGGACTGAAATATTTAAATCATAAAGAGTGTAGATAGTTGGGAAAAAGGTTTATTTGCAAAATTCCCATACTAATTCGGAAATGATTGCTCCTCACACTGAACCTTCTCTAAGTTGTGGCATTTAGAGTAACAAAGAAATAGCTGGCAAAGAGGTTTGTATTTCATCTTTATTACATGAATTACATGCAAGTCACATTCAGTACACAGATGCTCTCCCGTTTCATCACCTGAATTTAACTACACGGGAATATTTAACAGCACCATGGGGCCAAGTGTCCTGGATATAGAACATCTGGGCTTAGTTTCCAGCCTGGTCTCTAACCAACTTTGTGACCTCAGTTTCCTCG